CAACAAATCAATCAAAATGAATATCTAAAAAGCCTGTTCAGCCGGGCCCAGCTTAAACAAACACAGATATCACAATAATAAAACAAACAGACCTTACTTGGAGTTCTGATGGCGGTTTTTGGTACAAAAGAGAAAAAAAAAGACTCTTATTTTGAAGCAGATCACGCGGTTGACCACTTGTTTGGCTATGAGAAAACGGGAGAGGAGAAGAGAGAGGAAAAAAATAAAATAAAAAGTCAAACTCTTGCGTTAGCGAACCAAGGCGGCCCTTTTGTTCGCGCTGAGCAGATACGATGACGATGATCTGTGGATCGCTCCCGGTAGGCCTCACGCATATGCGTCGGAGCAGAATCGGGTGGTCTCTTCAAACCAGTTGACTGGAACAAAAAAGGACTAAGTTTCGTTTTGTCTCTCTTTTATAGACTCTGCTGTCCGGCGGGCTGGACTCTGTGTGGGTTCCAGCTCATGCGCGGAACTTGTGTTCCGGGGTTCGACACCGCTTTGGTGACGTCATCACGTTGCTTCCGGTAGCAGGGAATCATGGGACATGGAGTCTGCTGGCGCTGGAATATATTATCTGCTTTTTCAGAGCGCAGATGACCCAGTTTTTGGAGAAATTACTGCATAGTAATTTTCTCATAAGGGCAGAACCTCAACATAACCATGTAAGGGGAAATGAACAGTGGTGTAAATGTTTGTAACCTAAAAGTACAATAGGTTAGACTGGCAAGCCAGACTAAATAAATATATTATTTAATCTGTTTAGAAGTTAACTTCTTGTTGGAAGGAAGGTTACATCAAAGAGATTTCCTTAACCAGGATCCAGCTAGGGGGTTGTCAATGTTTCTCCTTTTAAAAGGACCAAACTAAGTAAATACATTATGTAGTCAGGCATTGCTCCATTGATGGTTCTCGGTCGTGGGGCGGGTTCTACCGTTGTCTTTCAAACAATCTCCAAATGCTACTGGACAACGAACAACATGAAGTACTCACTACAATGGTTGTCGATAAATGAGGCAGTCCGCTGTTGAAGATGGCAAAAATACATCCTTTTTCTAAATAAAGAACTTAAATACAGCTATCTGCTTCTGCTTCTAATAAAGCCCAAGTCTAAATATTCTAAAATTGATGTAAAAGCAATTTCAAACGAGATGTGGTCATCTAGTTCCACGCCTACGCATCATCCTGCCCAGACAAATGGAGGGCCCTGATTGGCCCACAAAGCCGATAGAGCACTGTGATTGGCCCACAAGGCGGCTATCAGTTTGAAACCCCTATAGAGAGCTGTGATTGGTCAGCCAGAATGCTGCTAGGCACCGCAGAGGTTCCAATGGAGCATTCCTAGTCCAAATTTTGCAAAGCAAGAATTTATTCTAGTTCACTAGGCTACCAATAAGTAAAAATTTTACAGTGAAATAAGTACGAAACAGTCTGATGTCGCAGTCTTGCTGGAAGGAAGTTACATCGAAAGAGATTTACTTCTCAGCCAGCTGGGGGGTTGTCAATGTTTCTGCTTTTAAAGGAGAACATAATATTTTTTAGGCAGCTCTGACTGAGACAGAAAGAGACTGAACAAGCTAGTTCTCAAAGGTAGCTTGGTTCTGAGCTGCTTGCTGGATTCAGTTGAGGAGACATGTGAAAGGAGGACACTGGGGAAGATGACCACCATTTAAAAAAAAACACCCACCCACTGCATTCCACCATGGAGACCATGGCCAGCTCCTTCAGAGGCAGATTGCGACATCCCAGATGTAACACAGAACGCTACCGTAGGTCATTCATCCCCTCTGCAGTAAGAATGTATAACTCCTCCGTTTAAGCTGTACTGGCATTATCCTGTAACTCAATAATACCAATGCAATATTCAGTATGTGTTCAATACTCGTGCAGTACCGGATTTACATAGTATGTCCGTGTCTCTTGAAGTATGCTGCAGAGTGTTGGAACCCTTTTTTTTTTTACTCGTGGCTTTTAGTGATCGAAGGTCACAGTACTAGACTACTGCCTATGTGTATATACATGTACCTTTGTTATAATAATTTCTCCACTGTTGGATCAATAAACTCTATTCTATTCTATTCTATTCTATTCACATCTAGTGAGCCTGAGAGGTTGCCAATTCTGCGCCTGCAAGCACTGCTGCATTGGCATTTGTCATTCAACACCAGCCGGCAAAACACACCAGAGTTGTGGAAATAATATTAGTTAATAGGAATGACCCAGAAGTTATTATAATAAGAAGCCATGGTATACACTTTTTTACTTTAATCTCAGGTGAAGAGGCTAACGTTGAGCTAACAAAGCTAATGGAAAATAAAAAATAATCAGCTCTAAATATATTTCAAGCAATTTTTTCTATTACCAACAACTCAAAATTACATTGAAATGTATTTTGTTACATATCAATTCACTGTGGCTCGTCTTCATTCATCATCCCTTCCAGCGCTTTTTCGTAAATGGCAACAACCACGAAACTCATGAACAAGAGTGAAGCGTCACTCGTTTGTTTTGAAAAATAGACTGCAGTATCCACATTTGACGACAGAATGTCATTCTTACTTCATGCACCTTTAATGTTGCATGCGCAGTGTTACAGTTTTTTGAAAACCACAATATTACAACATGGTCTTGGCTTGACCTGGGCTAGCTGTTAGCTCATCAATCTTGAGGAATATGAAAGTTTTTTTCAAAAACAAAAACTGATAAGGAGGCTAACTAGCTAGTAGTTGCAACCCAGTAATATTTAATAATTTTTACAGAGAAACCCCTTTCAGAAAGCTATTTTAATGGAGAATGCTGTATGCTCTACACATTCTCACACCCTAAGCGTGGAAAAATGATGTGATGTGACCAAGCATTTGTTTCCGACGCACTGTGCTGGAGGGTGTTTAATGTGTCTATGAACCTCTTTTAGAAAAAAATGCTGCCAATTTGCTGCAATGCCGTGGCAGCACCAGGAAAACGTAGGCCATTTCTAACTGGTCAGAACGTGGTGGTAATGGGGCACAATTGTGTCATTTTTACAAAAGATTATGCAATGGTGGTACAAAGTGGGTATGGGAGCAGTCTCTGCACTTCCGCAGACTCACTTTTTGTTGTGATTTAAGCCGCGCTCATTAAGTTGTTTTGACAAGCCGCTCCTAAAGTTCGATGTCCTCCACACTCTCCGTAAAGTCTCTGGTGATCTGACCTCCAGCTCTAACAGATAGAAGCTCCTGGAGCTCTGCATCACTTTTGTTTATCATCTCAGCTGATTCTGTTTACAAAAGTGAAACTTATCACCCGTGTTTACTTTCATTTTTAATATGGTGGCCGTCCAAAGCTCCTAACTCCCTATGTGATCATGACACTTCCCTCTGTTGCGCCAAGGCGTATAACGCATTCCCAAGTCTGGCGTTGCGGCAATATCCCTACCAAGCATAGCAGCACGAATGCCGCAAAATTCCCGCAACGTCATGCTGCCACGGCACGTTCACAAGACGTCTGTGGTGGCAGTATTGCGCTGGTTACGGTCTGTCCTCAGCTATGTACCCATTAACATGATACAATACCAATGTGATACTGTATTCTGATACACTAACAGAGGAGCGCTTTCCAGGGGATTTTATTTAATTGCTTCCCATTCGCTTTCTTTTAGCACGCATGCTCTTGGTAATTTATTTTACAGTGACTAAACGGTCTGGTGTTGTTTGGAAAAACATTGCAAATCCCAATCTAAATCATATTTGGTGTTTAAAAGTTGAACACAGACCTTGAATTCATGTTTTTAATCAAAAAGCTGAGGACATTTAAAAAAAGATATTTCTTTCAGACAAATCAAGTCAAGGCCATTAAAAGCAAAGCGTTTACTATGTAAAATTCTTTAGAAAGTTTGCTTTTAATTAATCCCTTTCAACAAACATGTCAATGTCAAATTTCAGCCTCCTCAGCAATTCATCAGGCCCACTGGGCAAAGGTTTGCTGAGCCTTGCTAAAGCAACAGTAGCTTAGCCGGTAAGCTAGAGTTACCATTTGTTTTAGGATCAGCTTAGGCAATATTCACAAGTCCCAGCAAACCTTATATGCAACACGTACAAGAAATTTTTTTAGAAGAAAAATATACACTCTGACTCTGATAGTGGGCTCTAGCCTCACAATACTCAGTGTACTAACCTTATTTTTCCATCTGCTAACCCAAACTTACTTCTTGGTGTAAATTAACGGACTTTTTGTCACTCTTGGATACAGGATTAACCATTGGTCCGAAGAATTATAAGTTGTTTGCACAATGTCGTGTCTTCTCATTTTGAATGCTTCAAATCTTGGTGTGAGTCTCTGAGTAAATACATTTTAATGAGTTTTTTAACTTTATGAAACATTTTTTTCATTTGCACATTTTGATATAATTTCTTCACCTCTGTGTTGACAAAAAGCTTCATGAGAATCAGAGAATACAGATTGTGTATTCTTCTAGCACATGGATCTTTGCCTGAATCACTTTTAACCTCAGTGTCTGTAGTTGCATGTTTCCTTTAAGCAGCAATCAAGATATTAACTGCTGTTCTTTTTATTTTTCCATCTCTCTTTAGAGACCTGCGCTGTAAACAATGGGGGCTGTGACAGGACATGTAAGGACACAGCCACCGGGGTGCGCTGCAGCTGCCCTGTAGGATTCACCCTGCAGCCTGATGGCAAAACCTGCAAAGGTCAGTGAAGATGTGATTGTTCAAACCTACTGAAAAGTCTAGAGGCCACGTGTATTGACAGTAGAGTCTAGATGCTATTGGCAGCTCCACCTGTGCCCCAGCCTTTGCCAACTAGCGACAGAACCTCCAGCGTGTGGCCCAGCAATGATCTAGTCCATGGAGAAGGTGCTATAGAGTTGGGCCCAACATCCCAATGAAGTCATTAGTGCATTTTTGCTTTCCTCCAAACAAACATCTGAATGACCCGCTGGTTCACGTAAAGCCTCCCACTCATCTCCCAAATTCTAGACAAGGCACTGAATCATGGCTGTGAGCTCCGTTCATGTTTACAGGCACTGTCAATGTTACTCCAATATGAAAATGTGGTATCAATATTTTTCAAGATTATACTTCAAACCGCTGAACAGTTGTTTACTAATTGCAGCTTTGAAGAAAGGAAAAATAAATTGAAACATGGCATTGAGTCACTTTACACACACACACACACACACACACACACACACACACACACACACACACACACACACACACACACACACACACACACACACGCGCGCACACAAAGAATAAATGAAGACTTCATTACCAAAAAGATAACTGTTTTCATTCTTTTTCCCAAAATGCAAAATCTTATTGTTTAATCCTTTTTATTTTAGTCAATAAAAAGTCAGATGAAGTTTGGTGATTTTGATCAAACATGGCTTTTATCTGTTTTTGCAAAGGAATCTTTCAAATACCACTTTTGTGTCAAATGTCATTTCCTCCTCTTCAAAGTCTATACATTTGGCATACACCAGACCAGAGATATATGTCACGTTGTGGGTGTGGAGATGATGGACCAAGTGTGGTAGAGCAGCTCAGGAGGCAAAGATGCAGGCTCGGATAAAGTAAAAATGAATTTAATAACAGGGCGGGAACGGTAGGAACAAACACAACGTTGACAACTAACACAATGATCTGACGAAGACTGGTACAAGGAGGGAGGTATAAATACACAGGGAAAACTAGGAACACATGGGCAGGTTAACGAGGGGCAGGTGAGAACAATAAGGACTAATCAGGGCAGGAGAGAGACACAGTCAGGAAGGCAGGGGCGGATCGTGACAATATAATGTGTTTCCAGACTACTAAGTGTACCATTGCAGTGTGTTTGTACACAAGGCATGACCCGCTGATAATGGGGGAGAAATGGGGCCTGGGCCCAAGGTGGTGGTGGTGGTGGTGTGGGGGCTCATCTAATGTTATCTTGTCCTGGATCAAGGCAAGACAGTCAGCTGGCCTGACAAGGCGACAATGTGTCTTCCACCCTCACCATCCTTACATTGACCTTTACTGTGGTCAATAGTAAAAGTAAACAGGCTCAGCTTGGAGTGAGAGATAGTGTTGTAGGGTATTCTCTAGCCAATCAAATCCCCCAGGTCAAAGACATCCTCTTGGAGACCGATTGTTGAAGTCGCCATAGCAACTGGGCATGCTGGTCATGTGACAGGAACATTTCTGTTTGCTTATCCAGAACAGAAATCTTTGTGCAATATGAGAGTGCTCCTTTACATTTTTATAATACAGTATGTCAAGTGAGTGTGTGAGTTTGTGTGTTTGCAAATTGAGTGTCAGATAGTCTGAGAATGTGACATGTAGGTGTGTGAAGCCTTGAAGTCGGAGTTGTCTCAGAGCCGGCAGGCAGACGACGCACCAGCAAACTTTGTGATGTTTAAACAGTGAGGCCCACTTTGGCCCCTGCTCTTTCCCCTTTTCCCAACCCTGAAGGAGCCATCGTTGTAAAGACAGCGCCATCCAGCTACAGATGCAGACAATACACTTGTCTACTGGAAGTTCCTCTAAACTCCAGCAAAAGTCTCCAGGTACAGATGCTGCAGTTGTGCTTTGGTGCACATAAACAACTTTTCTATTTAAACTCATGCTCTTATCAGAAAAAAAAGACGAGAGAAATCCTTAATTTGGTCCATGGGCACTGTCTAAAAACATATACATAAAATTATGTATACATTTCAAATTTTTCTCAATTCCACAAATAATTGGTTTTGTGCTGCATGATTGTTTACATCATTATTTCTTCAAAAGAAAACCAAATTCTGGTCATCACATAAAATGTGCACCTAAAAGTGTGCCGAAGAAAAAGTCGCCACCCAAAAGAAAGTTCACACAGTTATATTTCGACTTTAGCTTTCATTACATCGCACCTTTGCTGTGGC